CAGCCCGCGTGCCAGAAGGCCCTGCGCCGGTTCGGGCCTGCGGACCCCCTTTAGTTAGCTGAGTTAATGAGGAAGACCGTGCCGCCGTAAGTGCAATTAGCGCTTGTTTCAGACTCGCGCAGAGCCGTCTAGACCGCTTCCTGGCTCCGAGCGGGTCTCTAGCACACGGTTAATGTTTTGGCCGCTGCTCTGATAATGTAATTGCGTTTGTACGATCTCCAAGGCGAGGGATGCAAATAAACTTGTTCAGCGCATCTCATGGAAAGCACAACGGTTTTTACTCTGTCAGCCGAAAGAAGCTTGTTCCCGAGACGGAGGGGATGAGGGATAGGTATAAAATATAAACTCGGTTAAGTTGAAACTCAGGGTATGATCTCGGCCGTGTTTACTGTGGAGACAACGGGACCGAATTCTGTCACTTTGAAGGAAAACTGCTGCAAACAAGAGCCCTGCTTAACTAGCTATAAAATTTAATCCATTCATATCCCGAAGTTACCTAATCCCTGCCCCCCAACCCAGCACACGCGCTGTGGTGTTACTGTACCCCTCTTGCCTCCTTGAAGTACTGCTTGGTTTAGCATGGAGTTGGGTTTTGGTAGAACACTTTCAGCATGTGCCAGCATTGGTCTGTAACAGGACTTCTTTAGCAGCGTAAGGCTCTCTGTAGAACAAAATAACAAAGGCCTAAACTTTTTTTTTATTATTGTTTTTTGTCTCAAGCTGTTGAGGTGTCAGGGCGTTTCCATAACAAAAAGCACCGCTTCAGAAGCTCAAATGAGCCCTTATCCCCAATCTTGCAGCCAAGATTTCTGTGTGTGTCTCCTATGTCCCTGGCTGTTTCTGTCCCGGTGAAGAAATCCATCAGACTCTGTGTGCAAACAGATGCCAAGTGTCGTCTTAGCACTGTGGGTTCGAACACGCTGAGCGCTTTGCAGGATTGGGCTTTTCAGGATGCGACGGTGGCTTTTGGTGGGAGAAGGAGCGAGTCCTCGCGTGAGGCAGTTCCCGTTTGGGTTGGCGTAAGGAGTCTGGAGGATGCGAGAGGGGACGCGTCTGCTGCGGGTGTCAGCCCCGGTCGTGGTGGGGGTCCCCTCGGGAGAGGGGGCTCCAGGCTCAGGGGTGCCAGGTGCCCACCTGGGAGGATTCAGCATGTGGCACACCACTGCCAAAGCCAAAATCAGTGAAACAGAAAGCATGCAGTGCAGACCTGAGGCTCCCTTCCTGCACCGTTACTAGCTCTTTTTTGCTGTCCCCTCCTTTGCCCCCTCCAGCCTCATCAAATCATGAGGTCTTTTGGGCAGGAAATGTCTTTTTGTTAGGTTTGCATCCTCCCTTGCAAAACTGGAATAGGGTGGCTTTAGGCACTGCTGCAACGTAAAGATAGTAGTGCCGTTCATCCTAACGGTTGTGATGGATTCTTGTTCTTCTGCTGAAGAAGCATCCAGCTTTTCAAACAGGCGCATGGCAGACTTAACGCCCAACTGATTTTTAACAGGTACATCTTGTGGTGTGTACAAACTGGGTTTGTGTGCATAGGTGGAGATTGCAATCCCGGAGGTAAGGATGCTGGATTCAGAGTAAGGTTAGCCCCATGCTGAAAGGACTCAGTCGCTGCAGCACTGATGGGCCTTCAGGGTGCATTGAACCTCACTGGAGATATCTGTCCTAGGGAGAACTTAATTTCCAAGGTGTAGCTCCCAAAAGCCAGCATGATTTCATACAGGTTTTTGGTGGTGCTACTTTGTGTGTGTGCTTTTCTACAGGATCAAGTCAATAATGATTTTTCCATAAATGTTGACTTTGATTCTAAATTCTGCCGGAGAATATGTATTGCTGAAAGAGATTTCCTGAAACTGTAATTTAGATAGAAAACAAACTTCTCATAAAACTAAAGTTTATTGAATTCCTAGCATATTTTCCATCTGACTTGCAATTTGCATTAATTCAAAAAGGTAAATACACTTTATCGTTTAAAAAAAAAAAACCTTTGATGCCTCTGGCAGGCAAAATAAGTGGAATGTGATATTGATGGAAAATACTCTTATCTGCAGGAAACAACTATTGCCCTTTGGATAAAATAGGTAATGCTGGTTATCTTGTTGTTTCAGGAGGACAAAAAATGTTTCATATGCGACTCCGAGGATCCCTTCCACGATACTCTCAATCCTGATAGTCACCGTATTGAAAATGTGGTCACCACGTTTGCTCCCAATCGCCTGAAGCTTTGGTGGCAGTCAGAAAATGGTATGCAGTCAGTCTGGGAACCGTTGCCAGGGCTGGGCATTGTTTTGCCTTCTTTTGTTTCAGGCTACCTATGTGTTTGCTCTTATCTCAAGCCTGGTAATTACTGCTGCTGTGAGGGGGATCCCGCTGTTAGCAGAGGTCTGAGTGAAACTGGCTCCTTTTGTGTGCGCTGGAGCGCTCGTTGATTTTGAACAAAGTCCTGTGAACTCTCCAAGAGTGCTGGAAAGAGTTGTCCGAGCACTTTTAAACAAGCCTTTCCTAAAAAGAAAAGCTTTGCGCTGGCTCCAGCGCCGCTGTCAGTGCCGAGGGAGCAGGAGCATCTTCCCGGGGCAAACGTCCCGGCAGCGCTGCCGGAGCAGCTCTGCCCGGCGCTGGCGCAGGGCCCCGTGCGGACGAGGGTTTCGGCCGCCTGCGGCAGAGGGGTCCGAGGGACCGCGAGGGTTCGGCATCGGCCCTGCCTTCCCCTTCCCCTGCCCGCGGGAGGAGAAGAGCACTGCCAGCCTCTCCTGCCGTGCCAGCTGCCGTCGTGCTGCTGGGCCCCCCTCATCCCTATTCCTCTGCCAAACAGTAAAGCTAACACAAGAAACAAGTCTTTGAGTTAAAAAGTGCAATTTTCTTTTTTACGCTTTTTTTTAATCCTTTATTCCTCTACCCCTTTTATGCTTATTCTTTTGGCATGCCAGGATATACAAAACAAGGAGTCTAGATTTTCTCGAACAGCAATCTTACCCTAAAACCTGTGAGATAGCTCTTAAAGCCAGAGGGACAGGTTGGGATTTATGTAAGTGCATTTGGCAGTAGCTATCTTGCCATATGTTAAAATAAAAGTGGTAATTTTTGCAACGTTTCCGTTGCCCAATAAAGAAAGGTTTTCACTATCCTTTTTAACCACTGAGATTAAGCTAGCAAGCCACTTGTCTCCAGTGATTCTCTTTTGGCATTTCAAATAATTCATATTTTTTGCAATCGACTTGGCAGAATTCACACAGAAAAATTCTTAGCTCCTAAGGTCATGAAAATGTCCTTCAACGATAAAAAACAAGTGATTCTTTCTGTCCAATTCATGTTTTCTTTCATTCAGGCATACAGCAGAAGGGATCACTGCTGCATATGCCACGGGAAGTTAGAGCTGTTTGAAAATTTAAGCCTTTCGGTGGTTTCTTTTCGTTTCTTACCCTTCCTCCCCTCTGTAAATATTTGATTTCTTTATATATTTCTAGCCACAGTGTAATTAGTATCCAAGTGTTTTGAGAAGTCTTTTCACATGACAAAATAACATTTGTAACCGTTTCCTTCCTTTCTGTATGGAGTCCTTGACCATATATAGTCACACAGCATGGTTTGGAAAACCTTTTGCTTGTCACCAGTCCGAGGAAGACTCTGGTGATGAGAAGCGATTCATCACTTTCTGCTGGGGTAGGTTAGCACGGTTGTGCTCCCTTCCTCCGCTGATGCCCGTAGAGCTGGCGCCCGGTGTGAAGCAGAGCCGTAGCACCTCGTGCCACCAGCCGGAACGCTGTGACTCGCTCATAGGCAGGCACTGATGCGATAGTTGGGTTAGGAGTACTTCCGAAACAGTCTAGAAAGGAACTATTACTGCCTCAGGAGCCAGTGAAGACAGATGGGAAATGCTCCCGAGTGGTGAGATTTGGGGTGCCAGGACTACAGACACTCATGGTTCTGCTGCTAAGAGAAGAGCTGCAGTATGTGGGGATGGACTCGGGTCACCGGTGAGGTCTGCCCTCCTGCCTCCTCAGGGTTACCAGCCACCGAGTGTAAGGGTGCTTTTGGTCTTGTGCTTTGGGTGTAAACCGTTTGCTACAGCTGATAGGCACAATCATCCCACGTGTGCTACAAATCTTCAGTAGGTCTTTGGTGTCTCCCCAGCAACTCCTTAGTGCTGTTTTAGCACTAACTCGTATCTCCCTCTAGTACAACAGAGCCCAATGGCAAAGAAAAGGGTCCGTCACCTGAGTGAAGAGCTTCTGCGGAAATTTGGTATAGAGGTTGACAGGTGTCCTTGCTTTCTTTTCTCTGCTCCTGCAGGTCTGGAAAACGTGACTATCCAGCTGAACCTGGAGGCTGAATTTCATTTCACTCATCTCATTATGACGTTCAAGGTAAGGAGGCCGTAGTGTTGCCCCAGACCTCCAGGGCAGCGCTGGCGTCCCCAGGTGAAGAAACAGACTTAAAAAGGTTCATCTTAAAATAGCATTGGCATGCAGGGGAGGTGCACAGGGACTGCTAGTTGCACGTTTTTGTTAGGTACTCTAGATGCATAGATAACACCTTCTTTGGATAACCTCAAATCTCCTAAAACACAATGAGATGAGAGCTCTCTTCTGTTGTTCACATCCATTTGATATTTGGGCTTTGGGCTTTGTTTGAGCTATTTTGTCTGAATTTTAGAGCTCTTCACCATTAACTGCTGTTGAAGTCGCATAGGAAGGCTGAGCTGTGTGTGACTCGTGTTTTAACTTCAAGCGTGAGAGGCTGCAGAAGGACTAGCACCAAGACTGGATTTTACACCATTTGTTTCTCTCTGTAGTGTTTGTGTTTTAGAAGATCATTAGCAAAAACATATGGTAGCAAGGATTTTTCTTTTTAAAAAAAAAAAAAATTGGCCTTGGTATCGGTTTTCTTTTGGCAAATGGAAAGGTCTTCAGGAAGAAAGAACATCTGTACACAAAGTGTCTTTGTTTCTTTTCAAACAGATGTCTTGGAAGGACAGATTATCTGCCGTGCATGCTAAATCACGGCAAGCGCTCATGGCAACCTTCGGCTGAGGTTGGGGGGACTGCACTTCTGCAGGCCCAAATCCCCGCGCTTTGCACGTGAACAAATTGATCTGACCCGTTGGCTTTCAAGGAGAGCTGCTGGCTTTCTCCTGTGTTGTTATCTTGGCTGTCTGCCCCTGCCAAGCTCCGCTCTGGCAGCGTGTGGCAGGGGGGGGGGGGCGGGGGGC